AGGAAAAAAAGTTAATTACTTTCCAGATGCATTAGGGGAGTAGCTGTGAGTGCTTTCCTGTTCATCTTTTATTTATTATATATTACCTAACTGTTTAAAAATTTATTGTTGTGATGACTGTAATTGTTTGGGTTACAGCAGACCCTGCTTACTGTATGTTTTATTTTCAGAGACTCTACAATATACCTTGCAAGACAGGAAACTGGGAGCCTAAATGTCTTTTTGTGAGCAAGAAAAATGCTTCCCTCTGCCTCGTGAACATTTAGGGCCAGACTCATTCCTTGAACTTAATTTTTGTATTGCTGTGTTATGAGTTGCTGGCCAGAACACTTAAGGGCACTGATTTGCAAAGCCAAAGAGGAATCAATATTTTCCTCTTTACAGGCAAACTGTCACATAAGGAAATTACTAAATATCAGCATGTAGTGGTCCAACCAGGTACTCTCTCCACAGGCATACTGGTATTTTTCTTTACTGTTGAAAAATGCTTACCTTATGGGCTATTCAATATTATAATAATGTCTAATAATTCCATTAAAATTAAATCATCTGGGGTCAGGTTCCCTTTTTCTTACTTCCATTGGTACCTTCTATTCCATAAGATAATTAATTTCCACATGCAAAGAAAGGGATTTATTTATATTTTGAGTAAAACTTACCCTTAAAAAGCCATTAAAAACCCCCAAAGAAGTGACCCACTAACATAAATCTCATTTGTTCTGTTGGTGAATTTTTTCTGTATCTCAGTTTAAGCCCATTTATAAATTGATCTATTTTTTAAACTTTATTAATTTTGCCTCTTCTTTTTCATGCATTTTAGTAGCACAGTTCTTCTTAAAGCCTCAGAATATCCTCAAATAGAAAAAAAAAAAAAAAAGATTCCTTAAAATAAAATCTGCTTCATCACCATCTTGTCATCCAGCCTACGAGACAGTGTTTCCACTGACTTCTCTAAGCTGTGGATAAGGCCCCATATGTCTTAATTACAGAGCTTAGCATAAGCTCTTTGCACAGAGAGTAGCTTTGTCACTGTGCAGTTCTGTGCTCCATTATTTGTGGGAGGCTGGTGCCTGGAAAACAGTTTTGACAAGGACATCACTGGTCATGTAGCAACAGACAGTCCTGGCCCAAAGATTTTGCAAGCTGTGCAGGGAACATGGACAAAACGTGGTAGGGGAAGGAGATCCCTGTGGAGGGAAAGGAGCTTGATCAGGGTTGCATCAGAGATTTGGCACAGAGCTCCAGAAAAGCAGCTCACAGACTGATGAAACCACTCAATTTTGAGAGGAAGCAGAGTCTTTATTGAATTTCTGCGGCCAGACTCCCTTCCCAGTATCTTCTCTAAACACTGGTTTTGCAAACCATCTCAAAGGTTGACCCAGGTTGCTGAATCCTGTCTTTAACCTTTTCTATTGGTGTTGGATTTTTTTGCTATCATTTGCTGACTGGTGAGGACCAAAGACTGCCATCACATCACATTTCCTCTTTGGGATGTGGCTGTGTTGGCCACATTTTGGGATGTCCCCTGCGTTGGCCTTCTGTGCCACTCATGTGACACCATCTCTTTCAAACCCAGTGCTGAGGACAGCAGAGTCTTTTTGAACCTGGAGGTCCCAGCTGTTTTCAGGTCAGCCTGCCAACATTCCAGAGATATCTTTGGTTGTTTCAATGCCAGCTGCACTTGCTGGTCATTAACAGGAACTGGAAGTCTTCCTGCCACTCCAGATAAGGCTGTATTACCCTCATGTGTCACAGTGACTGTGCAGCAACCATCCTTTTGAAAAGCTAACATTTTATGAGTGCAGGTTGCTGTTTGCCAGTTAGCTCACAACCCCCTGAATTATTTTCTCTCTTATTCTCATTTTTTGACCAGTCTTCATGACTTGTTAGGATTTACAGTTCTCAGAGTAGACACATCTATTCCTCCACAGCTTCAAAAAGCAATAACTACAGCAGGGGAATCAACCACTGCTGATTTCTCTTGATCCTTTCCTCAGGAGTCCTGGTACGCAGAAATATTTCTCAGGGCTAAGTCTCCTTTTCTCAGCAACCTATCCAGGAAGCCAGATGGTTCACAATAATAATGATGCTTTCAGTAAGCAGCACTTTAATAGTGCATGTAACCTGAAGCTGCCTTAAGCTCTCTGGAGTCCCTCAAGGCCTCCCAGACATGAGCACAGACTGGGAGAAGTCATTGAGAGCAGCCTGAGATGAAGGATTTGGGGGTTCTCGTAGAAGTTGGACACGAGGCAGCAATGTGCATTCACAGCCCAGAATCCAAATATGTCCAAACAGCACCATAGGCATCAGGGAAAGGGAGAGGATTCTGTCCCTCAGCTCTGCCCTCATCAGACCCCACCTGCAGTGCTGCATCCAGCTCTGGGGTCCCCAGGCCATCCATCTTTACAATTCCTGGGAACCAACATATTCTCCTTCCATTTGGAATAGAAAATATCAACTATTGACTGCTACAAGAGAGACACGGATCTGTTGGAGCAGGCCAGGGAGGTGATCTGAGGTCCAGAAAACCTCTCCAATGAAACTCTGAGAGATCTGCTGTGTCACCTGTTCACTCTGCTCTTGGAAGTCACTTTGCTCACCTGTTACTCAGCCTCTCTCCTGGCTGTGGGTCTTCAGACAGCACATTGCAAATATCCCATGCTGGGTAACAGCTTCCAATCACTCTGGGTTTATACAACTAAAATGGCTCTTTTTAGTTCACAAAGATGCAGGAACTGCAAACTGCCCAGTTAAAGCCTCTTCCACACCTCTCCTGTCTTCCCCCTCTCAGCTACATTTCTTGCATTTTAATTATTCTTAGAGAGCTCTGCACTCCAGCAAATCTCAGCTTAAGAGAAAACTACTGAGACTACTTCTTTTCTTTATTTTTCTTTTTTTCTCCTCTTAATTCTGAAATGTTAGCTATTAAAAAAATGTTTATATGGGTTTATTGCTTGTGGAGTTTCTTTCCTGGAATGCAAAGCAGTTAAAAAAAGTAGTTTAGGATGCCTTCTGGAAATATCATATGTGTTTTCCAGGAAATGTTACAATAGCTTGTAGTGCCATAGTGCTTGGTTTCCATTAACTAATGGTAATGGCTTGATGGTGTGATAACTCATGCTAAGAGAAAAATCAGCATTTAACTAAAGCTACAACAAGATCTCACTGTAGTGTTATAAAGAACTCCTTCCTGAACTAAATGCCAGCACAATTTATGCAAATAAGATCTGTTCTGGATTTGTGCACCCTGAGCTTCAGCTGCCCTTTCCTTGGAAAATCTGGCTCGTCTCCCATGGGAACAGACCCTGGCACTGTGGCTTGCGGTTGTGCAATTCTCCTGTTGTATTAAGGTCAGGAATGACAACACTGCATTGTTCTCTAGCAAAATAGTGACTTTGGAAATCGTGAGCCTGATAAATCTTTCTGGAACTCTGTAGGATCTCTCAGACATATTTTATTAACAATGTGATGAAGGTAGTATAATTCCTTCCCACTTCTACAAATCTGAGGGGGATACCTGCCTTCCATAAACTCATGATAAGTCCCAGCATTGAAAACAGTGCTCAGCCCTATTTTTACCACAGTTTTGCTGGCTGTGTGACTTCACCCCCATGGTTACATCACGGCAAACACTTACAGCTCTGACAAGCTCACTGTTACAGAAGAAAAAAAGCAGAAATCCTTTGCAGCAGTTACTGTTTCTTTCCCAAGTATTGATAACATTTTCTGATTTTATGGATCATGCCATTCATCTTTACAATTCACACATTTTAAAGAGCTAGCCCATAATTCCTGGGAACCAACATATTCTCCTGCCATTTGGAATAGAAAATATCAACTATTGACTGCTACACAGTTCGGTTATTTGCTACTTTTGCATATGCAGAAAGATCAGTCTGGCAGAGTAGGAGTGAAATGTACTGGAGTGTAAGAAATACTGTAAATGGAAGATATTTTCTTTAATTATTCTAAATTAAGTTTTGGTAAAATAATTCTAAAACATATAAGAAATGTTACCCATAGGAAAAAAATACTTAAAAAAGAGCATGACACCTACCATTTGTCTGCCATGAGATGAATCCCTTTGCCTACCTTCACACACTTGAACACACATACACACAGACATATTGGCACAAGTTTATTTGGTAAGCTTGTGTCTCTGGCACTGACTTAAAAAGCAAAGAGCTCTGTGTAACCACAGTTACATTAAGTGAAGCCATAACCAGTTACATATTGTTTCTTGGTCTATTAAATTGCATCCTCCAACCTTAAGCTGAAGGTTTGTAATGGAAAGTGGTTGCATCTATGTGGGATTCACATTCTCTGAACAGGGAGAGACAATTCTCCCCCAAGGGTTTTTTCCTGGAGAAACACAGAGGGAAAACAATTCTTATCTCATTTGCTGCTCCTGTTGTTTTGTGAAGGTGTGCTGGAATGTGTTGGAAGATTATTTACCTGAAGGAATTTGATGATTGGATTCTGGTGTGAGTGTTTTGTTTTCTTGACCAATCTGTGCAAGCTATGTCCTGACTGTCAGTAAGGAGACAGTCACAAGATTTTGTGCAGCTGAGTTCTTGTTCAGTTTCAGTTTAGATGTAGTGTAATATAGTTTAGAATAATATCGTATAATATATAATAATTATAATATAATAATAACTCTATACTATATATAATAATAACAACTATATACTATATATAATGATATATAGTAATTATAATATATATTATTATAACATAGTATAATTATATAATTATAATATAGTATAATATAGCAAAATAAAGCAATTAATTAGCCTTCTGATATCATGCAGTCCTCTTCATAGTTCCTCCAGCCAATCAGGTCAAATTCCACCGATACATCTATTTGGAAAAAATGGACATTGCAACAGGCTTTGTCTGTGTTGAGAAGCCTTGGGTTACTTATCATCTGTGGTGCTTTTTCCACCTTTTATACCACTTAAAAGATATCTTAAAGTTTTTAAATTTTCATACAGGAGCAGCTGCCAGTTCCACATAAAGGGTGCACCTCTGAGGCTGAGGGGATTTAAAAGAGCCTCAAACCTTCCAGTATCCAGCTGAGATTCCAGTCAGAAGGAGGAGGAGGAAGTGGAGACAGCTCTGTATATCACTCCACACTGAGACACAGCAACCCTGGCTGATAGATTTACTTTAAGTGTGAGGACACTTATTCCTCAGGGGGTTTGGGCTAAAAATGATTAAGAGGGAGAGTGGTTAAAAATTCAATTGAACTTCCATGTCAGCTTGTGAATCAGGGAGGTCTTCCCAGATGGTGATAAAGTAAAGCAAGGAGTTGTTTATCCAGGCAGTTCCTCTAGAGACAAGGGCCTCAGTCAGTCACTTGTTGCATTTAGAAAGCTTGAAGCAGTGGCAGGATAAGTCTGGGATGTGCTGGCAGGTTTCTGCTGGCCTTGGGGTGAATGCAATGGTCCTGCCTCTCCCTGTGTGTCTGGGAGTGAGGGAAGGAACAATGCCAGGCTGAAAGGAGGAAATAAGGGGATTAAACAAAGAACTCTAATTCTTGAATTAACACAGTGTGCTGTATCTGCCCTGAGAGCTGAACACAATGGCTTTCAGTTAAATATATTTTTCTGCTGAGCTGGTTTTTGGGATGGCTCATTGTAATGACTTCCTAAAACACTGAACTTGAATAAATAGAGGGGCTCTCAGGGACTTGCTCCAACAGAGCTTTATTTCTTCCACTCTCACATTCATCATGCTCTTTCCCTCCAGTAATTGTTGCTATGGGAGCCAGTGGAAAGCAATCCCTACTGTATAACAAGGCATGGCTTCTGCAGCCCTTACAAACTCCATGTAGATACAGCAGGAAATAAAGTCATGAGCCACAGGAGTGCTCAGCTACCTTACATCTCTCATGTCATGTCAGAGCTGAACCAATCTTGGATCAGAACAGAGGAAGCTGAGATACTTGGATAACTCATTCTTGAAGGGCTTTGAGGCCTGGATATTTGCAGGGGCCATAGTGGAGAGCAGTGAAAGAACTGGATGTACAGAATAAAAAATTATTAATTGCAACAAAGTAATGTAGAAGACTACAGAAGAAAATTACCCTCCCCTGCTCAGCTCAAGTTGTTGCAATGCAAAGGTATTCAGACCAGATTTTATGCAGGAAGTAATGTTTGTAGTAAAAGCAGCCATTCTGTATAACTGGATTGCTTCCAGGAAAATTTGCAAAGGAACATGAAAGCAAAATGCATCTGCAACATAAAGGGCAGAATTGTGAGGTTAGCAAAGAGGCACTGTTCTTTCCTGGATCCCCTAATACATTTTCAAGCTTAGGTATTATAGCTGACCAGCTAAGACCATGTAATCCACTTTAATTGAACATTTTACTGCATGTTTCCTGGAGCTATGGAACAGTAATGTCTTCACAGGAAAGATAATATCTGTGTCTGTACTCTCAGGGGCAGCCCTTAGGCTTAGCTCAACACCAGGCTTGTCTTGCTTGCATACTGGAAACCCATTTTTCTCATTAGGTATCAAAGACAGAGCGTGACACAATGGGTTTAAACTGCTCCTGGAAAATGCAGGTTAAGTAACAAAAGGAGTGCTCTAAAGGGAAGGAAATCCAGGCAGCTGAACACAGTACAGCTGGATGATTAAGCAGGGTCTTCACAGGAGATATTTAAAGTTTAATCCTGGTATAAATGATTTTTAGCAAGCAGCATCTGAGCGGGTGTGTTTGTGTTTAATGCACTCTCTGGCACAGAATTAAAATTCGCTTGGTTTACCTAATCTGGGTGAAGGATGGGGGAGGAGAAGGTGTTCAGTTTGCTAAACAACCCTGGATTCTCTAGGTCCAGGTGTTCCCAGTTTTCACTGGTAAAGTAGAAAAGCTACCCAATAAAAACATTCAAAAACTCTTCCAGCAATATCTATCCCTTCTCCTTGGAAGGAGCACTTCAAGTCTGTCTCCTGCATAAAATTTACCAGTTATTGTTCTCCAGAAGGGTATTGCAGACTGTTGAAATTTTTTATTCTTCACCTCAGTGAACTTAACATAAAAATAATAATTAGGCAAAGAAGTTTTTTGAACTGTTTGAATGGTTTGCATGCTGTATTATTTAGTGGTAGGAAGAAAACAAGTCCAGCTGGGTATTTATTTTGCCTTGAACCTGTTCCATTCATTCTCTACAAAGTTTTAAATTAGGAATTTTTTTAGTTTATGCAGTGGAAATAAGGGCAAGGAAGAGAATGGTAGCAGGAAGGAAGAGTGCTAAAAGGAAAGAATTGAAAATGACAGCCAATGTGAAGAGTATTTTTTTCTATTTTCTTCTCCTTTACAGGAACACTGTCATACCAAGTGTGATGCATCTTTGGCGGTTTCAAGTTTGAAATCAACAGTATGAAAGCAATTAAAATACTCATCCCACTGATAATGCCTTTTAGCAGGGGATCTCAGAGCACTCTATCTTTATCCTGCCCTGTTCTACAGTGCAGCTATTTGAGGAACTGAAATCACCATTGCCCGCCCATGCATTTCAGCAATCACACAGCATCTTTTCTCTTTTTTTTATTCTTAAATGCTGCCTTAAGGCAACACAAGATGATTGACATTTTTCCCTCTTATCTTAACCAAAATGGAATCTTGGATCCATTTCCAAGAAGTGCTGGCATGCCTTCACATTTCTGCATATATGAGGTGTTTTTATAATAGGTCTGCTTGCTATCCTAAGCAACATTATGGTGGGAAAGAGATATACTATCAAGCCTGTGAGTTAATTTAAGAAGTTATTTGGGCTGAGGTTGGACAATTCAATAACTCCAGCTCTAGGGCTTCTGATGCAAAATAAAAAGTGATGCAGGCATACAGTACCAAGCATTTGTCCAGATAAAACTCTCTCTCCTGGTTCACATTTCCTCATGGTTTTTATGGTTTAATATTCCAGTGTCAGTTTTTATAACAAACTAGATAAAAATCTATATTCTCAGAGTTAGTATAAAAGAAGCATACATGCATCAGCTCTTTGTACTATAGTTAATGTGGCAGAGATTTAACTGTATATTCAAGTCTGATCTGGATCCAATTTTTAATCCTGAAAAATTCAGAAGTGCAAAGATCCAGTATTAATGGTAGTGGGAGTCTGCCACCATGGCTTCAGAAAATACATGAGTATTGCTTTGTTGTAATTGTAATGAATCACACCTTAATATCAATTAGAGAATTCTTGAATAAAGATGAACAGAAATTATTTAGTGTCCCTTATAGAAAGATTGGATAAAATCTGAATTAGATTAATTTTTTTGCAATAGAAACTGATTTTCCCCCACAAAATTCTGAAATAAAATAAAATAATGGAATATGAAATATGTAACATAAACATCTTTCTCTAGTCTAGTCAGTATGATGATCAGTCCATTTATGGAAATCTCCATCATAAGAGGAGAAAATTGTATTTAGATACACTGAAAGTTTCAAAATATTTCAGTGGTATACATTTCAAGATGATTGAGATTTATGTAAAGTTGTCAATAAGTAGGAATTCTCCTTCCTCACTCAAACAAAACTCACTGAACATTTATATCCAGATGCTTTAAATAAATGAGTCATATTAATCCTTTCATTTACTTTAAGCATGATGTAACATAACAATAAATTACTTCTTTGGATCTGTCTGAAAAAATGTATGGAAGAAATGGACCTGGAGAAAACAGAAAAGCAAAGGCATCTAAACAGAACAGGAAGCTTCACATGTTCCAGAGCCAGATCCGCAGTTAATTTCCTTCTCTCTGTTTTTCAGGTGTGCAAGGGAGAAGGTCCAAACTCATGGACCTGGGATGAAGCAGCTTCCTGCAATTATTTACATAGCAGATCCATCAGTACCACTGCAGACAGCTCCTGCTTGAGGCAGCTGATGGAGCAAGGACAGCAAGGGGAAAAGGAAACATCATCTTGATTTTCCAAACAGGAAAGGGTGGTGCAGAGACAACGTAACGGGGGACTGGAGTACTCTGAATGTCCTGGAGCAGGACTGTGGCTCTTCTCCAGAAGCACTGCTGCCCCTGGAGATGCTGCAGGTGCTCCTCAGGGCTTTGGTAAGAGACAAGCATTAGCAAGCAGAGAGCCACTGTACCTTTTCTTGCAGTGACATGGGGCATGAGACACCAATGGTTGGGAGGAAATTCCCTCACAGTGCTGAATCTGAGACTAAGCAGTAGAAAAAATCCCAACTTTTGCCCTTCTGTGCTTTGTCCTTGTCTCCTCTGATTCCAAAGAGGCCTTAAAAAAGATGGGCATGTCCCAGATTTGAAGTGAAAGGAAACAAGAATCTGGCAGTGACTTTTTTTAGAAAAGCTGACGCTTGAGTAATGAAAACAACGTTCACCCGACTGAGAAACAGCAAAAGAACAGTATTTATTATTGATTCCTTGCATGTGATCTCAAGTTCTCTGTGCCCAGCTTTCTTATTTCTCCATGCTTCCATTTCCCACCTTTCAAGTGCAGACTGCAGCAGCGCAGGCAGCCTGCAAACTTCAGGTGAAATTTTTGTCTGGAAGGGATAATCATCTTCCACACCATGTATCATTAATGTGTGGGAACAGGGTGCATCAGAAACAGACTTTGCTTGGGTGTAGATCTTCTCTGATTGAGTTCCAAGCTGTGACACTGAGCCACCAGGTGACCTTAGCTATCACTAATACGGAACTTGTTAATGGGCTTTCATGCACATTATAACCTAGAAATTCTGGGTTACCACTGGTGCTTGCAGCTGCTATGGCAACAGAGTTGGTAGGCATCTCTTCAAAAGTCTTTTTTTTCTTTTTAAGGACTCCTTGAAAGCAGGAGGCATTTATCATCCAGCATGCACAAACAGGTTTAACTATGAAAACAGTTTTCCTACAAAATGATGGACACTGTCTCTCTGTAGTTTCTCTAGAGCTTATATTTTTAGTTCTACATTTGTGCTACTGCATTTCAAAAGATTTTCATTAGAGTCCTAATTTTTATGGCCTATAACTAAGCTAGATTTTCAGGACTTTCCAGTGTTCAGGTTTTAGCTTTGCAATTCTCCCTGATGTTACTGGGTGTTGCCTAAAGCCATTTTCCTTGAAGACTTTTGAAAAAGTAAGCTCCACTGTCTTTGTCTAGTAACAGTGAAAAAAAATTCAAGCTAAATCAGTAGAAAAATTGAAGTTTGCTATTTTCAAATGAGAACAGAACTGCTGGGTATTCATCCACAGAAAATAAAAGCTTTGATTCTGCATAGGTCTAATATTTTACTTTGAGGAACATTTGGTCTGTGTTCTCACATTCCTGGAATAATCATTGTTCTCTGTCTTTGACAGGTGGCACTTCTGCAGGTGTGTGTTCACCAAAGAAACTATTTAAACTTTGAGCAAACCACCATAATGTGCAATACACAATCTGTATCTGGCAGTCCTAAAGCCCTTCAAAAACCTGAAAACTTTAAGACAGTACAAAGAGATGTGAATTATTGTTTGCCTTTTTAGAGAATGGAGATACTGATAAGTTAAGCCATATTAACTGGCTCAGTAAGCCAATCTCCAGCTCTGCCACTGGCCTGAGATCCCCCTTGAACCCATTTCTTGGGATTAATCACAGGATCATCTTTCTTTTCTTCTTAAATGTGCATTTAAAGGACTGGTTAGAGAGAGTGTGGAGTGTTCCAGTTGAAAATCTGGTCTAAATTTTTTAGAAGATTGGATTATAAGTGCATGGTTTGGAAGAATTTGGAAGCCTGCCATTTCTAATCTTTTACTTGTGTTGTAGATCAGGCCTCCATTCTGCTGAGTGATCACTTGCAAATCAATTGCAGATGCCTTTGTGGGAAAAAATGACACACATTCTCTAGAAAGGCAGGATTCGTGGAACAGCAGAAGAAGAAGCTCTTGCTTTCTGCACAATTCTGGAGCCTCCACAAGTACTAAATCCTTCATGGCAAGTCAGCTCCAGGATTTTAAAACAGTCTGGATATCCTCAGGAGCTGAAGGCTGTGCCTATTAAAGTTTTGTAATTTTTATGAGGATAGCCTTTCCTCAAGAACAGAGCTGGGCTGCTGAGTTATGGGATCCAAAGCAGTCAGACCATGTAGTAAAATGACAACACCCTTTCTATATGTCTGAGTGTCTTCCTTTACTCCTGCACCCCTCTGTTCCCCTTGCACCTCACCTGCCTGACCTATAAGAGCCACTGATCTGGCTATAGGCCATTTTTGCCATGAATTCAAAGAGATTGGAAGAATCAAGATGTTCAAAGCCTCATCTATGTGGGAAACAATAAAGTTTCACTCTGAACTGCTTACACAGTATCATCAGGTTGGCACTGGATGCCTCTCTGACACAGGATTAGTGCCTGAGACACGTGTTAAGGCAGGAATTAACTTGTGACTCTGGTGATTTACCTTGAAATTTTTGAGTCAGATGCTCCACAGGTCTTATTTGGTGCTGCCTCTTGAGTTAATGGAACATACAGGTTCTCTTTATTTGTAGCTTTTGCAAAGCAACCTATTTTCCCATCCTGCTAAAATTCATAACTTTACATGAAGCAGGTGGAGGAAGAGTTTCTAAATACTTTTCTAATAGAGCAGAAGTACAAAACCCCTTCAAAGGGAGCACCTTTGTTACTGCCTTGCATGAAGCATTCTTCTTCTGCTTCTCAAGAAAAGAAAAAGGAGAAAAGCAAAACAGAACCTAATTTGGACAAAATTAAATTTGCCAAGCATAGGATAAAATACACTTTTACTGTCATCCATCCTCCATCCTCAGCTTCATGACACCTTGTTTGGACCCAGGTCTGATTTCCTGTGAAAGCACTGCCCAGGAAGGAAACTGGGTGATTCCAGAGCTGATCTGGCATAGGTTGTGCCCAGCAGTGAGAGTGGAATGCTCAGCCAGGCAGCATTTGCTGATGGATGCAGCACTGTGACTGTGTGTGCCAAGGCTGGCTGCCTCTGGCCCTTGGCAAACTTAGGTGAAAAATGTGACATGGCCTGCTGAGAGGGTACCATAATAGGAAATAATATAAAACTCTGAGTGGAGCTGGGGGCAATGGAGTAGAATGATGTACCTGAAAGCAGGCTCAGTTGTATCTGCTGCTTATGGAATGACTTTTTTTACACAGAGTAATTGCTGAGGATGTTGCCTTTGTCTTACGCATGAATACCCTTGTTCATGTCTCCTACATTAATCTTATTTTTAACCTTCTTATCAATTTGTCATATATTTGCATCCCATCTACCATTAGGCACCTACATAAGGTTTAACAGTCCTTTAAAACCAGTGGAAAGAAAAAGTATGCCCAAAAGGTTATTCAGGTTATAGATGAAGTAAATTATTCACTGGAAATGCTGCTATCTTCTGATTTGTGGATGATTTTATGTGGTTGCAGCCCAAAAATTTTTCTCTCTTTTCTTTATCTGTGAGTGTTGGTAAGAACCTGGTCCTCAGTGTTTCTTATTCCTCCACAAATCATGGCAACATTTATGTAAATAGCTAATTGTATTTGGGTTGCATGGCAAAGTTTTGGTAGTGAGGGGGGCTAGAGAGGTGTCTTCTATGAGAAGCTCACAGAAGGTTCCCTCATGTCCCACAGAGCCAATCCCAGCTGGATGGGATCCACTGCTTGCCAAGGCCGAACCCATCCGCGATGGTGGGAGCACCTCTGGGATAATGTGTTTAAGAAGAGGAAAATCTGCAGTGCAGTGGCAGCCAGAGAGAGGAGTGAGGAGATGGGAGAGCAGCAGCCCTGCAGACACCAAGGTCAGTGAAACAGAAGTGGAGAGGAGGTGCCAAACTTGAGACTCCCCCAGAGCCCGTGGAAGCTCATGGTGTACAGTGGGTATTTTCACCCCGATGAAGGGGAGAGAGAATGATGCATCCGACTCCATCATATCAGAAGGCCTAATAATGACTTTATTATACTATATTATTCTATGCTATATTACATTATATTACATTTCATCTAAACTGAATCTGCCAAGCACTCAACTGCTCTGAATCTCCTGTCTGTCACCTGACAATCCTGACACACACACACACCTAGCCCTAATAGGCCAAGGAAACAAAACACCATCACTGTGGGTAAACAATCTCCATATTGCATTCTACTTTTGCACAAACACAGGCACAGCAAATGAGATAAGAATTTATCTCATTTTGTTTTCTTTCTCTGAGGTTCAGAGAATGCGAACCCAGAAATATTCTTGGGAAGAATTGTGCCTTGCTTTTCTCTGTGAAGAGAAATGTGGTGACAATGGTGGAGCAGAGATCTGCCTGCAGCCTGTGGAGGAGACCAAGCAAGGGCAGGTGGATGCACCCAAAGAAGGCTGCAACCCCTTGGGCTTATTTTTGGTTTATTTTTGTATTTCATCCCTAGATATTAATGACATCCTGTAAATATCAAGGAGAATGCTTTCTATGCCCTGGGAGCAACTCAGGAAATTTGAGGCCAGCTAGATTCCACTTTTCTGGTTGTTCTCAGTGGATTTATGTGGCCAGTGTTATGAAAGTGAACGGGAAGCTTCTGGGTAAATATAAGGTTTTGGATGCACACATCCTTGGCATTCAACAAGAGAAAACAGCTGTCAATACTTATAGAGCTGTGAAAAAATACTAATCTTCAGAGCTCTCTTATCCAGAAGCAAAGATGGAAGGGAGATGCATGTGAGAACCAGGAGGAGGTATATGGAAATGAGAAAGTAAATTTGAAGCAGAAGGCTGATGCTTTCTACTTGTGGTTCCCACCATGCATGCAGAGAGTTAAGGCAAAAATAATTATCATTTCTCCCCACATTTGTCCTAGAGCAGTCTGTGACCTGGATTGTTGTGTCTGCCTGCTAGTGGAAAAAACAATAGAGCTGCAGTTTCATTGCAAATTGTACCAAGAGAAAAGACACAGTACAAAGCAGAGGAGTTAAATGCCTGCCAGCTACGAGGTAAATCATGCAATGACACCAGCCAACAGTCAGGTACACCTGGCCTAAAGCACCCAGAGCTTGGATAGGGAAAGGATGCAAGTACTGAAATGCAGAATTACCAACTGATCATCAGCATGATGGTGAAGCAGAGAGAGTCAAACTGCTCTTTGAGAGGGGCTGCCTTGCATGATGCATTCATGAGATGATGTGATCTGACAATTTAGTGAGTGCTTCACCCCTCCTCTGCCAGTGGAGACTTTCTTCCTGCTTCTCAGCAGAGACAGCATTGATTTGCTGAGCTCAGAATAACCCTGTGGGTGAGAGCTACTCTGCCTCACACACAGCATTTGTCTGAAAGTTGTCTCTCTGGACAGTATTTTGAGAGAGAAAACCCTTCTCACTTGGACTGGAATCCAGTATGGTCAGAGATGCCCTGGGCTGAAAAGGGAAAGAAAGAGCATCAAAGGAGATCATAATGTGTAGAGTTAAACAGAAAAACTGTCATGGTAGGTGAAGCCAGCCCACAGCATTGCAGGGCAGAGAATCGCACCTTTCAGGGCCAGCATCAGCTATCCCTGACTGGTGCCATGGGCAGCTGCCTGGCTCATAGGTAGGCAGAGGTGGTGAACTGGCATATCAAATGAACAACACACAATTCACTCTGCACACCAAAAGGCTCTTCTTTAGCCCAAGGCTAGGTGGGCACAGTTAGAGAAGAGATACTCTTCTCATCTGCAGAGACACCTTGGATATATGTGTCACAAAAAACCAGTTGGGTTAACTGGGTGACCTTTCTAGAGTTCAAGCTCCATGTTATCAAGGATTTGATGAAATGGGCAAAGCTGGATTGAATTAAAATAATTTGGGTAGCAGAATATCACTTATTAGATTTGTCCTAAGGTGTCAAGGTTTGCTCACAAAGGAAAGTCTGCTATTTTTTCTTCTCCAGCACATTACCTTGCCAGCACAGAGCCCTGCAGATTCATTCCTCTTTTAATTTGCACTGATTTATGTCACATCACCACATTACTAGAATGTAATGTGAACAACTGTTTGTCTGTAAAAGTATAATGGCCAACTCTTAAAAATAATTCTAACTAAGCATCAAGCATCATCTGGCATGTGTGACAGGTGAAACTGCCATATGGTGAGGACCCACCTCGATAAATCTCTGTGCTCCAAGTTCTGCACTGCCCTGTGAAAAAGCATCTTCCTGTCCTGAGGACAGGGAGTACTCTCAAATGTGAAAAGAAGCCTGGACCATAACATGTAGTTTGAGTCACAATTGTGGAACAAGTAAACAGCATTCTAACCAATCCTTTTCACATCTCAGAGGAGTTCTTAAAATGCCTTTCCATTTTGCAGAGGGTTAACACGGATCTTGTGCAGAGAGAAGCAGGTGGAGCCTGAGTGTGTGTACACAAGCATATGCACATGGTGCTCATAGGTTGGGGCTTTGTCAGCAGTGGGCTCTATTTATAAGGGACAAGGAAAATATGTTTTCTCTGCTCCCTTGAGGAGTGAGTGAGCAGTGAGTGGGAGGGCGGCACAGGGAGCGCGTCTGTCTCTGCTCAGCCCCGTGCTGGTGGCTCTGGAGGTGCTGGTGTTATGAGTAGAACAGCTGCCCATTTTTTTAAAAGGTTGCAGAGTTCACAGGTTGGGCCAGTTGCTGCTAGGGTGCAGTTCTACCTGTTTGTTGTTGTAATCACCTGTTGTTTTTGTAAACTACCTGTTGTTGATGGTTAAGAATTCCCCCTTTTGTCAATTGACACCCTGCTGCTTCCTGGAGGATGGCACCTGGGACGGTGAAGAGGAGGGGACATCAAGTCGACATGCAAATGACATTGGATCCAGCATGCAATGGGAGAGACCCCTCACCAAAGCTAGCCAAAAACCCCTAAAACAATGAGCCAACACAAAATTGATGAAGCAAAGCAATGTCTAGACATGAGGAACAGAATCTAGTAGCCACCAAGACCCTTTTTACTCCTCATCCTAAACTAAAAAGATGCTGGCTAGACAGAGGACTGCAAATGTTGACTCAAAACCCAAGGGATTTTGCAATGCGTTTGTGGGGATGGAGCTCCAGCTCTACCTACGGACCAGACCAGACCAGTGGACAAAGCTACACTCTTCTTTCTTCTCTGAGTTACTCCTGGGAGCAGCGGCAGTGTGAGCGCTGACCCGTTGGTTCTTCCCACCCAAGGTGATCATTTTTAATAAAGGCATTAAAGAGGAGAAAGGCCTCCTGCTCGTCTTTATTTCACTGGGAGCTCTGCTGCTGCCTTGGTGCCCAGCCTGGGTGTGCTGGGCTGCACTACCACAGTTCCCCTGCTGCACCTCCAGCCATGGCTGCTCCATTTCTGCTGGGGTGAGGCTGGGAAAGTGCATGGTCCAGGCACCCCATGATCACAATTATTGCAACAACACAGACTAAGAATTATTAAGCCAATGACCTGATGTAATTTTTCTTGGTTTTTTACTAAACTTCTCTTACCATTGTGCCCTTACAGACACTACTGAGGCCCTATCCCACACTCCAAACTCCATGATACTCATTCCCAAACAACTACATCATTTTAAAAAGGAGTATGGGCTTCAGCAGCACAGATGGGCACTGATAGCTAACTCAGTGGGGAAACTGTCCTGTATTGTCACAGTGATATTTTATGAAAAATCCCTTCGCTAGGGTTTCTTCTCCTGGCAAGATGAGAAGCCTCAGCTTCTCCATGTTTTGCTCCTCTGAAATGTGATTTGGAAAATTGTTTACCCAGCATGTGAATTGTTTTTAATTAATGGCCAATCACAGCCAGCTGTGTTGGACACTCTGGTCAGTCACAGTTTTTATTGTTCATTCCTTTCTAGCTCTCTGATGGCTCCTTTCTCTTTCTTTAGTATATTTTAATTAATATAATATAATATAATATAATATAATATAATATAATATAATATAATATAATATAATATAATATAATATAATATAATATAATATATCAGCCTTTTGAGAACTTGGAGTCAAATACTCATCTCTCACCTCATCCTGGGGACCCCCACAACACCACAACACTATATGGCTCTGTAATCCAGAGGGGCAGCTGGGGTGAGGGATTGGGAAGTGTTCCAGAGACTCATCACTTGCAGAAGTGGAATATTTGAAACAGCAAAGGATCACTTGGAAAGAAGAGCATAGGCAAAGAAAAGGAGCAATACACGAATAAGCAAGGATAAGTAGTGAAACAACAGCACAGGGAAACTCCTGCTTGTCTGAATGTGCAGAAAAAGAAAGATGAATTTTGTTCAGGCAAATGCAAACTCTTCAGCTAGAGTAATTCACATTGAAGGAAAAAGATCAAAGAAAACCAGTGAAATTAGTCAGCTGAATTTTAATGTGCTACCAAGTAAAGACTAAGGAAAGTCTTACAAATGATGGTAGAAACACTTTATAGAGATCAAAGTTTAGCTAGAGATAAAAGACAGAAAAACAAAATATCATTTTGTAATTTCCTCCCCACCCCTGACAACATTAGTCAAGTATTATTTATGAGCAGTAGGTCTTTTTTGGGGGAGAACATCTGTATTGTTTTTAACTGGGGTCCTTAAATTCCAGAAAGTGTTTCAGCTGGAGTGGTCTCTGGCAAATTTGCTGTCAATTTCAACAGCGTCTGAATTGGGTACATGGTAAATTTAACAATGAAAATAAACCAGACACTTTTAGTTCCTTATGGTGTGTCCCAAATAGCTTATAAAACACAAATGCTTCTTCAGTCATTAGGGATGAACAGGTCCCCTGGCATCCTAAATAGAATGCAAAATGTGGATCAAACTGGGTAATAAATTGAATTAATGTGGCAAAGACATAGGCTAGTGTCAAACTGATGTTACAGGACTGACTTATATTGAACTACTCCTTGGAGACAGCAGCACAGAGAAATGGTTTGTGCTTCATCTCAAGCACAGCTACCAGGCACTCTGTTGCCATGCTACAGTATCTAGGTGGCATCTTACTGAAGGAAAATCCTGCTTTTCTCAGTGCCTACCCTTGCTTGGGATGCCAGCAGGAGGCTGAGTACATCAGCTGAGTGGGTTGTCTTCCCCCAGATGCTGCTGGACCAGAGGAAGGTGAGGACACCACACAGCAGTGCATCTCCCTCACCA